TTTCTGAGGCTGCTCTTTTGATGTTACATTTACAGTTATATGGTGCATCTTTTTCTGAGGCAACGTGATATTTGCTTTGTTTTAATGTTTGCTATACTCATCCAATAATTAGATTTTTTCATTAATAGGAATAAAACGAATTCGAAATCACTTTTCGATATTCTTTTAAGTTTATAAAGTCGTCGTTTTTCTGGAATAAGGTTTATTCCATATCTTGTTATCTAGAGTATCTCGACTTTACTTTTTAAGAATAAGAACGACAAACGAGCGCGCAGTCCACCTGATGTTAAGTGACATCCATGTATTGTTTTTTTTAAATAGAATAAGGGTTAATTAGAAGAGCACAACTGTCTACCTGATGGTAAGTGAATGCAGTGGCTCATAAACTTCTAAATTTATCCACAAATAAGAATCAAAATGCTGATGCGTTGTACCCCTAAGGACTATAATGGAATACATTGTTTCCAGTAAAAATGTATCTGGTTCTCTACACTCACCAAACGAAACAGAGCAAAAATTAACTCATCATGAGAACATTAACATTTTACAAGTAAAAACTGTATCTCGAGAAATGCAAAAGAAAAGAAGAGGGGTACATCACAAAAACAGTCACAGCGTCAGACAAAGATGCGATCACAGATGAAGTTATCCTATATCATCCCAAGGGAGTCGTGAGACGACAGAGGGAAATTTAAATAGGAGATGGTCAGTATTTTATTTATTTATTTTATAGAATTAGGATGACAAACGAGCACACAGTCCACCCGATGGTAAGTGGTTGCTGTGGCCCATAGCAGCATTAAGCTGCTATTTTACACTGGTATTCTGTGAGAGTGTGATCCCCAGTCGAACCGACCCATTTGTGCTACAACCATAATACATCTGCAGCTTTGCTCCACCACATATTAAAGGAATACCAAATTCACATTCTTGTCCGTTTTTTTTTTCATTATACAAAATAGTAGAAGCCTCCGCAACATGTGACCATTTGAGGGACGAGCACCATTGTCTATACTGTTGCAGACGTGTTGTCAAAACATAATTTTTTCTTAATTCTTATGCACCAAAATATTGCAGCCATTTATTGCAGTGAAAATATGGCCCGTCACCCTAATTCTTTAATGCTGCAATAATTTATATATAAAATGTGTTTATAAATCAAAGGAAATCATATAAAAAATATATAACCAAAATGAAACTGCCAACTTTGAAGAAAAAAATTTCAATTTTTTAAAACATGTTCCATTTCAAAGATAAAATTAAGTAGACAAATTTTCACATTTTAATCAAAATAATAAAATGGGAACTATTACAAAAGTCTGTAATAAATAATTTTTTCACAGAATATTAACATAAAAATTACATTAGTGTATGACATGGCGGACAACTAGTGAAAGCATGTCATTGTAAAAATAATAAGTATAGATATTTTAGTCGTCTGACGAATTTGGAGAACTGATAACGAGCTAATTAGTTTTTAAATAATTACGGGCTGACAAGATGTGAGAATAGAAAAATATCTCTATTTTCATATTCATGAATTGTTAAGCACTTTTAACCAGTGTTTCACTGTAACAAGAATCTAGTTTTTTACGGATTTCTTGTGTTTAATTAACTCTTCTTTTTTTGTTCAAGACATTTCGAGTACTTTACAGCACCTACGGTCACCGCAGGACCGAGGTGTTCAACATCTCAATGTTATTGTTTACCCTAACTACCTTTAGCTTAAAATTTATTTGATAATTGAAGATTCTAGTACTGAATATGTACTATCTCCTGCACCTTCATCAGACATTGAAGACTCTGAAGAAGCTCACCAGTAACACCTCACAGAAGAATGTTTAACAATCCAGTGGTTGAAATTGCATAAAACTCATCCATTTTCTATATTTTACAAGTATTCCAACAATGAGAAGGTTCCTTGAGGAAGTCATTGTTAAAAAAAGGTAGGCCAGTTATCACTACAAAACTCAAATAAAAAAAAGAAAAATATTGTTAAACATACCAACGAAATTATTTGTGACTATAGTTCCGATGTAGTACCATGTAGTGGTAGTATAAGAATACCCAATATCGCGTATCGTCCCATGACTGTCGTAAGAGAAGACATAGAGAATCAAATCAGGAGATGGGCAGCAGCAACTTCTTAATATTGACTAAAAATAAAAAACTGCGCTTGCCAACCCGCTCGCCAAGCGTGCCAACTAAGACAAATGTCTTCCCTATAAGCCATACGGAGGAGGCCATGTTCAGCAGAGGATTTTAATAGGCTTTAACGGTATCTATGATGAGACATTTTTTACAGGATAAGGGTGACAAACTAGCACACAGTTTACCTGACGGTAAGTGGTTGCTGTGGGTCATGGATATCGTACCAGGTATTGCCATTAGGGAGTGTGAAACGATAAACTGTTGCGTTGCCGACAAACTGGCTTACGGTTTAGCAAAATTTAATAGGTAAATAATGTACACTCTTTCGCTGGATCCCGTGAGGACTAAGACGAAATGCCATGTTTCCAGTAAAAAGAGTCTCAGTTTTCTACACTCACCTTATGAAACACAACAGAGTTAAGCTGCCATTTTATGCTGGTATTCTGTGACAGCGTGGTACTTCACTAGTCGAGTCGAACCATTCATGGTACAGCTAAAGTACTAATATAGCTGCAGTATGGCTTACACTAGACTGTTTTATCAATCTCAGACTGAGCTGAGGTGTGAACGGTTTTTCTTTCAATCTGACCTAAGATGTCATAATGCAGAAACGGTGTATCCCACATATTTATTTTAAATATAGATTCAATTTATACTAAGCATATAATATTATAGATTCCGAACTCGTTTTTATAAATAAACAATAATATGTAGGACAAAAACATAAAAAAAATAATTGGCAAAATTTTTTGTTGCTCATTCTGAAGTAGAGTTTATTTCAGATAATGTTGTAGTATTTTTAATATATATTGATATATTATGGATAAATTGCTTGAGAATATTAATAATGTTAATTAGCACGTCATTATAACTTCTGTTTGTGCAGACGACTAAAGTATCTTTACTTTATAACATAATAACTGGTTTTAAAATATAAACATTATGATTCAATTCACATTCACCGCAATCTTACTAAGGATACAAATAAATAAAAAAAACATTTAACTCTACCTCAACTAACCTATCAGAATATAACTTTTCATACTCTTAGTGCAATCCTTTAGAAACATGCGTGAATATTTTTGTTATTCTCTTAAAGTTTATTTATTATAATTTCGTCTTCGTTAAAACTCTTTTCAAATCACTTTCACAACGCAGTTTTAGATATGAGATCAAATAGGAAATTAACTCAAAGTGTATTTTAACTTTACAAGAAATTGGAGGCTATTGATTTTGATTAATTTAAACCGACATTTTATAGATTTTAAATAAAAAAACAACAACAGCTATTTAATAAATAGTATTACCACATGGAGTCACAAAATCCATCACTCCAATTAGTCTCAAGGATCTTGTTAGCCTTGTCTATGGGGATATCGGGAAGATTTCCTAGCGTCTCACAAATGACAGTACAACTCGCGGCACGAAAGTCTAGCGGTGATCGTTATTACGCATAATTGGCCATATTGCGCATTATTGCGTATGATTGGCTGTGCGTATGGTTAGCACGCGCTGATTAGCTCTCCAGTCCAGAGTTACGTGCCGCGACTTATATTCTTTAGAGATTTAATAAAGTTATAGCCAAATACTCAATTTTAAAATGTCCTAAGTATCGTGGTTTCACAGTCATTAACTTAAAGTGCCAGAGAGAGCACAACACTTAACGGCATCTTGAAATTGATTAGCATTTAAGTATCTGGGCATTTGGATGCTATTTACCCCATCAGACTATCACACTGCTCCAGGCATGGCTTGAAATACTTTTAAAGCAAAAGCACAAACATGTTAAAACCAGCAGTTTAAAATTTTATTAACAATTTTATTATCAAACTCCATTACCTTATGTACTATTATTTTACAAGCATCATCATTGTCCACTGCCAGGCTCTTTGTCTCTCCTTCAGTTAGGTTCACACATTTTTTGTACTTTTACTGTGTATAGTGCACCCAGTGTATCAAGAATTCTTTTTCTAAGCCACTCCAGTATATAAAATATAAAAATATAATACATGGCATAATCTGATTCGTATTTAAATTTGCTGTGAATTCCAAACAATCAAGACAAATAACAAATGAATTATCTAAATTGAATTTTTAATGAAAAGTGCTACACATATTGTTAAATTTTTCTGGATATTAAAATATATCCAGGCAAGTTGATTAGTAATATTTCAATAGATGAAGAATAAAGCTTTACTTTTTTAACATGTCTTTTCCATAGTTTATTCTAATGCTGCATAAGTCAACCTTTTAAAAATTGTTACTTTAGTCTAAATTTAACAGAACTTATTCCCCTCTTAGACATTCCAAAACTGCGTTTTCAACCGTCGATCTCGCGTAGCCTCTACGAGATAACTTACACTATATATTTACAAGGAATTTAGTCTATGGTACGAATTTCAAGGGCTCTGCGTAAGTGAACGCCGGCACAATATTTATAGACCTTGCATAAGTAGTAATAAAGTTATTTATTGCAATTTAGAATATTTTTAAGCATTATCTTACTCGAATTGAGATGGGTTTTGATACTTTTCAATCATTTTATTGGTATGGGTTTGGTCAATACTTATAACTTACAAAAAATCTAACATTAAATTAATTGCATTTATTAGTATTATTTTCTAAGTGATCTTTCTAAATTAAATATTTCTCTTGTAGTCTTCATTCTGGTATAAATATATTCTTTAAAAAAGGTTTTATATCAAAACCTTGCGCATGTACAAATAAAATTAAATTTATTAATACTCACACTAAAGTCCAGAATTCTTTGCCACTTCCTGACACGAAATACACACTCGCACTTTATTACTCGAAATTAGGTCTTTAACCGGAATAAGAACCTTGTAACACTAATCTGGGGGCCGATGCACTATTTCTTGCAACTTTGCACTCAACAGCTTCGCCTCAACTGCTTTAGTCTCTCTCCTACTCTCTCTGTCTCTGTGCCTATCTGAATACTTCTGATCGTCACCTTTGTGCTCCTTCCTATGTTCTCTGTGTTTCTGGGACCGGTCTTTGTGATCCCTATGGGATTTATGGGATCTGGACGAAGAGTGTTTCCTATGGTGATCCGATTTATCGGATGACCGGCTCTCCGACTTATCGGACGATTTCACTTCAGTTTTGTCAGACTTGTAATCTACTTTATTTGACGTTCTACTATCCGATTTATCGGGGGATTTATTTTCTGCATGACGTAATAATCTGCATTCGGATTTATCTGATCTGCTTTCTGTTTTCTCAGTCGATCGATTATCAGATTTTTCGGAAGGTCCACTCTCCATCCTATCTAATTTTACTTCGGATCTGTCAAGTTTGATTTCGGGTTTATCAATCGACTTGGAACTTGACTTTTCAGATAACTTATTATCCGATTTCTCAACTGATTTGTTCTCTAACCTATCTGAACATTTGTAATCTTTATCGCTTGTTCGACTTTCCACCTTCTCTGTTCTGTTATCAACCACTTTATCAGACTCACCTTTCTCCGCTTTATCGGAAGTAACAGTTTCTACTTTTTCAGACCTACTTTCTGATTTTACTGGTGTTCTACTTTCAGACTTCACTGGTTCTGGTAACCTAACTTCACTTTTTTCGGACTTTGCTTCAGTCTTATCGGTAGACTTTCCATCTGATTTATCGGACAATCTTCTCTCCGATCTGTGTTTATCGCTGTCTCTATGCCTATGTGAGGCCTTTTCCGACTTCTGTTCTGTTCTGTCTGATTTCTCGTGCCTCGACTCTGTTTTCTTTTCCTTCTTGTCCTCTAAATGTTTTTCTGTTTTGGTTTGAACGTCTGTACTCTTCCTGCTCTCAGATATCTTTAAGTCCGGTTTTTCTTTATATTTAGCGCTAAGTGCTCTCATCTCTATCACGCCGCTCTTGTGTTTTGTAGTCGACGACTTTTTAGTTTCTGAGTACAAAAAAAACATATTTAATTAATTACAGCAAACAGTGCAATAATCGCAATAAAGCTGGTAGCATTCATTAGTTACAATAGAGCTTCTGCTTAATATAAAATTCATCACCATAATCATCATCATTACAGCCCTTAAGAGTCCATTGTTGAACATAGGCTTCCCCCAAAGAGTATCACAAAGTGCAGTCTTGAGCCACCTGCATTCATCAACTTCCTGCATGTCTTACCAGTCCACTCAATCAAGTGGGGGGCCACCCCACTTTTTGCCTACTGATACGAGATTTCTACACGAGAATCTTGCTTCGTCGACGGTTGTCGGTTCTTTTACCTATATGTCGAGCCCATTGCCACTTCAGCTTCAGAAACCCTGAGCATAGCCCTCTCCATAGCTCGCTAAGCGAAAACATTAATATTACATAATCAAAAAAACTTGATCACTGAATAATTATAAAAAAAACTGTGGTTGCCGAAAGGCCCGTAAATCGTAACAAGTATGGCATATATCCTTCTTATGAGGGAGGCCATGTTCAGCAGTGGACTTTTAATAAGATTTAAGGAATGTTTGAAGTAACATTTTTTTTTCTATATTTGTCAGAACCAGTTTGGTGGAACCAGGCAAACCTCCCGTACATGCGTAATATTGAGTATTTGGATAACTTGTATAGTTTATACCTATATGTATTTTTTAACTGCCTCGTTGATCTAGTGGTTGTAGTAGTGCGACTGCTGATCATGAGATCCTGGGTTCGAATCCCGGGTCGGGCCAAAAAATCAATTATTGAGTTTTCTGTCAAGAAATTCTCAGTAGCTGCCCGGAGTCAGGAAGTTGGCGGTGTCTCACCCCCATGCCTCGGAAAGCACATAAAGCCGTTGGTCCTGCGCCTGATCTCACATCCTGATCGTGTCGGTTTACCGTCCCATCGGATTACGAGAGTGAGGGAATAGAGAGTGCACCTGTGCTTGCGCATACACTTGGGCATTATAGTCCTGTCCTGCGCCGATGGCTAGCCTCCGGTTGAGGCAGGCCGCCGTGGCCGAAATTCGGTCTGGAGGACATTATTATTATAATAGTTTATTTTAATACTTTGGCGTTCGTTACATTGTTTCGAAAATGTGCCCATATTGACCATGCTGGGCAAGTGTGTTGAAAACATTGAGCTGACGTCCTTGCCGACAATGGACGATGGGACTGAGTTTCTGGTTGGCATGTTAGTGTAATTAAAAAACAAATCATAAGTGCATTACCCATGCGGTGCACGTGCGGTGGCGGCTCAGCCGGCCGCTCCTCGGCGGGCGACGACGCCTCCGACGACGGGTAGTACTGCTTCAGGCGCAGGTGCCACGCTGTTAACATACAATGGGATATAATTTATATTCATATAAATATGGGCAGTGTGTGTGTGTGTGTGTATTTGTGTGTGTGTGTGTGTGTGTGTGTGTGTGTGTGTGTGTGTGTGTGTGTGTGTTTGTCTCTGTGAGTGTGAGTGTGTGTGTGTGTGTGTGTGTGTGTGTGTGTGTGTGTGTGTGTGTGTGTGTGTGTTTGTCTCTGTGAGTGTGTGTGTGTGTGTGTGTGTGTGTGTGTGTGTGTGTGTTTGTGTGTACTAGTGCTCACCGACTGAGGTGACGGCGGAGACGGTGCGGAACTGGTGTATAATGTTGCGCGGCAGAAAGTACACGTCCTCCGAGCACAGCGGCAGCCGCGAGTAGCGCACGCCCTCGCGCCGCAGCTGGTTCAGCTTCGCCTCCTCCAGCCTGAACGCAGTCATTATTTTTATTGCAGCCTTTCACAAGTCCGTTGCTATACATAAGGAATGCTACAAGACCTGCTCCTGAACCACCTGCATCTATTTACTTCCTGCATAATCTACCAGGTCTTCACTTCATAGTCACACTTCGCCTTCCGATACGAGGCTGCCACTCGAGAACCTTTCTTCCCCAGCGTTTGTCGATTCTTCGAGTTATATGGCCGGCCCATTGCCACTTCAACCAATTTACCACCCAGAGTTATAGTGGTATATAACACTTACCACCACTATAACACTGGCTGTATATGTAACGTAATGGGCGGAGTAAGAAGTGATATAAAGTCAACAACCTTAAAACATTCAGCGTAAGTAACCGCCCAGTACTAATTACTGCTTACTTATGCAAGACCAGCATATGCTTGTTATTAATAAAATACTTGCTCGATAAAAAAAAAGTTAAAATAGCAACACTTCGCATTGCCACTCTTTCATTAATAATGCAGTCGCGCGTCGCATGTTTGTGTACATAGCAAAAAAAAATGTAAAACAGAAAATAGTAAGTAGGTAAATTTTACCTTTCGTTTCTGATTATTATTTTTGCGATTTCGATTTTTCCTTCATACTTTCACGGGCTTAGGACCGTCTAATATGCTGTAGTTGAGTAGAATTTCATGTTAAATTTTATCATGAAATATAATGAATTGATAAACAGTTTTTATTAATAATTTTTATGCCTACATTATACTGCAACATCTCGGCATATTTAATAGATCGAAATTAACTTATTTACAAACTACACTGATTAATATTTACAAAATTATACTACATTATTGTTATTTAAAACAAATAAAAATCACGTTTTTAGCGATATCGCAGTAATTGTTCAAAATGTCTATCTATTCCTTTTAAACACTAACTAGCACGTTTTTGTAAACTGTTTGTTAAGCTTCAAAGCGTGTCTCTATCACTTTTTATCACATTAAATGCGTCTATTATACACTGGTTTAAATCACTGACACTTTGTGCTTCTTCTGTGTACACTAATCATTTTAGTTCGGCCCACAAATAAAAGTCAAGAGGTGTTAGTTCTGGTGATCTTGCCGGTCAATTCATAAGTCAACCGCGACCAATCCACCTATCATCGAATTGGCTTGTCATTGTTAGATACTCGACATTAGAGTATTGGTACATGTTTACGATACACACACGGAAACATAAACAATACGACGTTGACGCGACGTCACGCCTCAACTACTACTATAGCACTCAGGCCGCGGGCAGCTTTGTACCTACTACATAGTTCTGCTGGCGACACTTTATTAATTTTCAAATTAAAACGACTGTTACTAAATTATGACAAAGTAAATAATGCTATATCTAAATTAGTAAATTGGTTTAAAGTTAATAATTTGCATTTAAATGACACTTAAACTAATTGTATGAAATACATAACTCCGAATGTCAAACATGTTAATACTATGTAATTATAAATGGGGAGGAGCTGAGTCTTGTTGATACCACCATTTTTCTTGGAATTTTTGGGATAAAAAATTACCTATATTAAAAATGATAGGAATCAATTCAGTAAACGATTCTGAACAAACTACTTTCTCAAAGTGCGTTAATTATGTTACGTGTTATACACTCACCGGCACGGAAACTTGGCCAAGCGGTTATCTCGCGATAGCAAAAGCTTTAAGTGTTTCTGATGAATGTTTGTTATGCAAGTATGTCAAAAAATGTTTACCCTCAAGTTCAAGAGGGTAATTCATTATGTTTAAGTGCACCATGACGAATTCTTTAATTTTTAGTTGAATCGGGTCATTTGAGCGACTAAGTTCACATTTTAAATTTGTGTGTTGTGAAAAGTTTACTGTAAGGTTATTCAATTATTGTGATCTTGTGTCTTAATTAAATAACTAAAGGTGCTTTAAAGCCAATAAAAATGCCATTAACACCAGCACAAGTTGCACAAGCAGTAGCATTAATTGACCAAGGGCTAACACAGCGTGAAGTTGCTATTGTGCTTATCGTACCACGGTCCTCAATGCAGTATTCACTGAAACGATACCAGGAGACAGGCCGCTACACCCGCAGGCCAGGCAGTGGGGGCGTAAGGTGCACATCGGCCCGGGACGATCGTTTTATTGTTATGGAGATTTTGAGAAACCGCTACCTGACCGCTGTTGAGATACGCCAGCGGCTCCAAATCGCAAGAGGCGTTAATGTTAGTGAGCGTACGGTGAGAAGACGAATGGAGGAAGTGAATTTAAAAGCTCGTAGACCAGCACGAGGTCCAGAACTTCTCAGACAGCACCGAGTAGCCCGACTTCAGTTCGCAAGAGAACATGTCAATTGGACCCACGAGCAATGGGCTAGAGTGTTGTTCACAGATGAGTGTCGAATAGCTTTACGTGCTCCAGACGGTCGAGAACGAGTATGGAGAAAAAGAGGAGAGAGGTTTCTACCCATTACCACCACCCAAACTGTGAGTTTCCATGGAGGCTCAATAATGGTATGGAGAGGTGTAAGTTCCGACGCACGTACAGAGTTGGTCATCGTCGATAATCGGCTTACAGCTACTCGATACATCGAGGAAGTTCTTCAGGAGCACGTAATGTCTTATTCGGGATTCATTGGACACGACCAATTCCTCCTCATGCACGATAATGCACGCCCGCACGTCGCACATTGTGTAGAGGAATATCTGGAAGAGGTTGGAATACAAAAATTACAGTGGCCAGCTCGTAGCCCGGACTTAAATCCAATTGAGCATGTATGGGGTATGCTCAAAAGAAAGATAAAGTCCAGCTCCAAACCGCCACAAACTCTAAATGAGCTCCGAAATGCAGCGCTGGCCGCTTGGGACAGCATACCGCAAGTTGATGTCAGAAACATCATTCAAAGCATGCCAGATCGAATGCAAGCGGTTATCAGGGCTAGAGGAGGAAACACCCGATATTAAAACTGATAGACAATAAAGAAACAGACTTAATTTTTAACTTTGTAGTGTTTTTTAAAGTGACAATGGAAAGATGTTAATTTTAGTGAAAACATGTCATCTTGAAAAGAAAAATTTCGGTGAAGTAAACATTAAATTTCTATGTTCTAAAACCATTAGAGACACTTATTGAATGCATCTACCCTTAATTTACTGTTAAAAAAACGTTTCAGTGCAAATAATCACCAAATTCACGAGTGGCCAAGTTTCCGTGCCGGTGAGTGTATATATATATATATATATATATATATATATATATATATATATATATATATATATATATATATATATATATATATATTAGCTTGCAGACGTTTTTCTGCCTTTTTCAACAACCCTTTGTCATGTGCTATTAAAAATCTTTAAATTCGCAAAAAAAAATTGTGGATTACTATTGTGTGATGGGCAAAAAACTATCCTATCTCTCAAGTTGGACCAAACTGCATATGGTGTGCAAATTTGATTAAAATCGGTTATACCTTCGGGAAATAAAACACATTTTGTCAAAGCTTGAGGGCCTTAATAGGCAGAAATTGTCTCCATTGACTTTACTCCTTCATCTTAAGTATATCGGAATGAACAACTCACCAGGTGACGCACTGTGATATAGGAGGCTCGTACAAGTCGAGCTGCAGCAACTGCACCAGTTTGTTGAAGTCGGCCGCGTGGAAGGCCACCACGTCCTTCGTGATCCTGCCGCGGTCGCTCTCGTCACCGCAGTGGATCGCTTTTAGAACACCTGCAAAAATAACATTACTTATTACATTTGTAGCTACTTAGTTCCAGTGTCATTTGTGAAAAAATAAAACTTGTAGCGTATTGCCGATGGCACCATTTGAATGGAATTTTTATTTTTATTTAAAAACGGGCTGCATAAAAGTTTACTAAAAAGAGTAAAGTTTTATACCCTAAGGCACTTTGATAACCAACACTTCTTCTCTATGCTCACCTTACGAAACACAGCAGCATCACACTACTATTTGTCAGTGGTATTCTGTGAGAATGTGGTCCTGCCTCGGTTGAGCCGACTCATTTGTGCTACAACAACACACAGCAGATCCCCTCCGCAGAAATAGTGATCCTCGGCGACTTTAACGCCCACCAAGCCGAATGGCTTGGTTCACGTTTAACCGATCACGCGGGGAGATTTGTTCATGATTTTGCCTTGGCATATAGTATGATACAACTGGTTACTTCGCCTACGCGGATTCCAGATGTGGAACATCATGTACCTTCCCTGTTGGTCCTTCTGCTGACCTCCTCCATGCTGCGGACCTCTCATCTAGACCGATATCAGGTTTCAGTCGATGCCACTTTAGGCTCCTCGGATCATTGTCTTGTCCGGAGTGTGGTGTCACTTACGCTTAAATCGCGGTTGCATTCTGCAGGTTGCCGTCGTGTTTGGCACTATAGTTCAGCCCTATAGATTACCCTACGCTTGGGGGCGGGTTTGCTTCTCGCTGGACGATCCCAACGTTGTTGCTGTTTCTGTTACTGATGTGGTACTTCAGGGTATGGAACGTTTTATTCCTTCCTCTGTGGTGCTCATCGGAGGCAGATTTCAGCCATGGTATAGTCGCTCCTGTAAAACAGCATCACGCTATAAGCAGGAGTGCTACCGGGCGTGGGCTGACGCATCAACATACCGGGATGTAAACACCAGCACCCTAAAAAAGAAGTATAATTCCGCCTGCAGGTCCTTCAAAAGAGTAATTGCCAAGGAAAAGTCTTCTGGAACCCGTGCATTTTGGCTGTCCTCTCAAGCCTGTCCAAGCCTGCCAAGGCTGTCCAAAGAAATTTCTGTCAGCTATCTCTTCCATCTCTACACAGGGAGGACGATTCACTGGCCGAGAAAGCCGATCTGCTAGGCTCTTTCTTTGCGTCCAACTCGACACTTGGTGACGGGGGGGGGGGAGGCACACCGCCGACCATCCTACGGTGAGTGCTCCATGACGGATGTGCGGTTCCCTGGACATCCACAAGTCGAGTGGGCCTGACGGTATCCCCCCAATTGTGCTGAGGACGTGTGCTCCAGAGTTGGCACCGGTCTAACGCGTGTTTTCCGGTACTCTTACTCCTTAAGCGTAGTCACAAAATCATGGAAGTCGGCTTTCGTCCACCCGAACCCTAAAAGAGACGACCGCTTAGACCCGTCCAACTACCGGCATATCGCCATCACCTCCTTGATCTCCAAAATAATGAAATCCATTATAAACTGCCAGCTCATGGGGTACCTTGAGGATCACCAGCTGATTAGTGACCGCCAATACGGTTTTCATCCGGGTCGATCAGCTGGTGATCTTTTGGTGTCTACCTGACTCATCGATTGTGGAGGCAGTAGAGTCCAAGGAGGAGGCATCGGCCGTTAGTTTGGACATTGCGAAGGCCTTCGATCGGATTTGGCACAAAGCGCTTCTTTCGAAGCTCCCTTTCTATGGGCTTCCCGAAAAATTGTGCGATTGGATTGGATCTTTCTTGCAGATCGGAGCATCAAGGTCGTTGTAGATGGTGCAAGCACCGATAACAAGCTCATTAATGCTGGCGTTCCACAAGGCTGCGTGCTATCGCCAACGCTGTTTCTTCTGCATATCAATGATAGGTTGCAATACAGTATTATTAGTTATTCGGATGACAGCACTGGTGATGCTCTTTACACCGGCCGGCCCATATTTCTCGGAAAAACGTCTCCGGGTACCGGGACAAACTTGTATCTTAAGTCGAGTCTTTGCTGAACAAAGTCTCAGATTGGGGGAAACTAAATCTAGTCCAGTTTAACCCTTAGAAGCCACAAGTTTGCGCGTTAACCGCTAAAAATAACTCCTATGTCGTATCTCCTCAGTTTCAAGGCACTCCTCCTGTTGCCTCAGCCAGTATCGGAATCCTCGGCGTCGACATATCGAGTGACGGACATTTTCGTGGTCACTTGGAAGAGAAATTGGCCTCTAAAAAGCTTGGTGTGCTCAGTAGAGCCGAACAGTATTTCATGCCGGCACACCGCCTGCAACTTTACAAGGTGCAGGTTCGGCCTCATATGGAATACTGTTCCCATCTCTGGGCTGGAGCTCCTCAGTACCAGCTCCTTTCACTTGACCGTATCCTGCACAGAGCGGCTCGAACCGTCGACAAACGAGTGCTTTCCGATAGGCTCGATTGACTAGCGTTGCGAAGAGATGTTGCATCTACCACGGGAAGTGCTCTGAGGAATTGTTCGGATTAATCCCAGCCGCCAGATTTCATGAACGCACTACGCGGCAAACCTCCCGATACCATTCACACCATCTGGATGCTTGGCGGTCCACCACCGTACGTTTCACTAGGAGTTTTCTTCCGCGTACGACCTCTCTGGGGAATAGTTTACCCTACCGGCGATTTTTCCGGACCGATACGACCTAGGTATCTTCAATAAAAGAGCTTACTCCTTTCTAAAAGGCCGTCAACGAACCTGCAATCCCCTGGTGTTGCAGTTGATCATGGGCGGCGGTAGTCACTTAACATCAGGTGAAGCGTATGCTCGTTCGCCCCCTCTCCTATAAAAAAAAATCATAATACTATAAAAAAGTATGAACTAGAGACTGACCGACAGCGGCCGTGGTGATCCGGTCCAGACCGTGCCCCACGTGGTCTGCGTGTGCACGCGTGCGGTCTTCGAACAGGAATTCCCTCGCTTCACTCCAACGCGGCAGATATTGCAGATTACGCAACTCGTTGATGCCAGTTCTACAATATAAAGTGTCAATTTAAGTTGCAAAATTCCTTTCCTAGGTGGTAGCAGCCTTTTTTTCTTATTAGTCTGTCTTGCCAGAAACCACCAATTACTTTATTTTTGTCGTCAAATAGTATTGCGTTTACCGATGTATTCAATTTGAAAGGATATAGAGAGACAGTACAATTTCAGGCTGTAGCCTACTACAGATGTGTTACCCCTGATACCTATATCAGGGGGTAACACACCTGTAACTTTCTTTGTATGACTGTAAGTTTGTTTGTTACTTCAATTTTACAAAAAGATGTCCTACGACTGTGGAAGAATAAGGTCTGAGACTGTGGAAAGGCATGAATGAATGAAATATACTTTATTGTACACCAGAAATACATTTGAGAGAAATAAAAACATAAATTATTTAAAGGTACAATTGGCGGCCTTACAGCTTAAAAGCGATCTCTACCAAGCAACCATTGCAGAAGATATAGTGACCTGTAAGAAAGAGTAAGGGTGCATGTAGGTTGTTGGAAAATACACATGATATAAATATAATTATATAATCGATAAATAAATACACAATATAATAAATAAATACATTTTAATTACAGAAATATAGACACACATATACGAGAATAAAAAGGTTTGAACAAGTAAGTGAAAGTCAAAGCCTTAACATAAGAAAAATTAGGTAGGTAGTAATTGTTTAGCGGAATTACTATTTACGGAGGAAAGAAGTGTGCTTGGAAGGTTTTTTAAACTTTTCAATAGACTACGCACTTCTAATGTGCAGCAGTAAGAAGTTCCAGCCAGTCTAAACAGAGAATAGACATCTGCACAGGACAGGATTACACGAGTGTGTGCGCTCTTTATTCCTTAACTCTCATAGACCGATGGGGCGATAATCCGACATGATCGGAGTGATCAGGCGCAGGACCACCGGCTTTACGGACTTTCCGAGGCACGGCAGTAAAATATCACCAATTTCCTTACTCTGGGCTGCCTTCTGCTTCCTTACTCTGCATTTTCAACGCAGAACTCTAAGTAAGAATTCAAAGTTACACCTGTCAACTAGCATTTTGTTTGATAGAACTACGTCCAGCAGTGGACTTAAAAAGGCTGTTAAAGAGGAAGATTTCAGTAATTTCTCAATCAATTCAAAATGCTGCGAGTGTTCTGAGTCTCACACTTGCATCATTTTAAAAGTCTGTGGCCGTGAAAGGAAAAGGGGAGATCTCCCGCCGGGCAAGTTGTTATGCCCGGGGAGCGGCCAACACTCCAAGTGATATTTCGGAGAAGTTCTATATATACTGTGTATGGTTCGGAATGTTAATAGCGCGATTTAGGCTTCGGTGTGTTTCGGTGTGCTAGTGGCGCGACGACAGCGCCGCTACAAGTCCAAGAAACAATAAAAATATAAAGAAGGAATCTTACCGTCTCTTCTTGATCGGACTCTTCCCCAGCTCAGCCGTAGGCACCAGTTGTTCTCCCGGCCTTATCCATAGGATCGGACCGTCATTAGACTCTTGTGGCTCCATCTCAACTGCTGACATCGGACCCCAAGGCATTGTCTGTGGATATGACATGATATGAAAAGAATTTAATAATTTATATATTTTGACAATTTTTAGTTAGAATAAGTACTTATATTAGAAATATCTAATATATAAAAATTAATGCTAGTTTGTTCGTATTTTATATTGTTCATCAGATTACGGTAAAACTTTGTCAACATATTGCTTGCATTTCCGCGAAGGTAATAGGCATAGCCGGATTTGGTAGATAATAATAATTATTATTACTGGCTGAAGTGGTTCATAGTGTGTCACGCTGTGCTCGCCCGACAGTTTCAAGAGGCTCCCGATCAGAAGTCGCTTCCGACCCTCTTCACTACTGGGATCATTTGGTTCCTAAAGATCAGGATACCACAGACCCGAGCAAATACCGCCCCATCACGTGTCTACCCGCCATATATAAGACACTGACATCCATTTTGAGCGCGAGAATCACTCGTCACCTGGAGCTAAATCAGGTGATGTCACACGCTCAAAATGGATGTCGGGGTGGTGGTCGTGGAACCAAGGAACCACTCCTCATTGACGCGGTCATTGGCAAAGTGGTGAAACGCCACCGTCGGAATTTCTCTGCCGCCTGGATAGACTACAGAAAGGCATTCGACTCGGTGCCCCATACATGGCTAAAGAGAGTCCTCCAGCTGTACAAAATTGACTGTACAGTTGGAGACTTCCCCGAGCAGTGTAGGGGGCAGTGGAGTACGATCCTTTGTTATCTGGGCGAGCGGAGGATGGCTGCGGAGAACCACATAAGGATAAGAAGGGGTGCTGCGCAGGACCACATAAGGATAAGAAGGGGTATCTTCCAGGGCGATTGTCCGAGTCCAATCTGGTTTTGCCTCTCTCTGAACCCTCTCAGTACTTTACTAGAGAGCTCCGGGAGGGGATTTCAGCTTCGAAAAGGAGGTACAAAAGTGACCCACCTTTTCTATATGGATGACCTCAAGTTATTCGCCTCCAGTCGCTCCCATCTTATGGAATTGCTAAACATCACTTGTGAATTTAGCAATTCTATTGGAATGGAGCTGGGAACGGATAAGTGTGCGGTCCTCCATGTTGAAAGGGGAAGGGTTGCTAACTCTGAGGGCATAGACTTATCTATGCCCATCAACTTAAGGACCCTTTCAGAGGCTGAAACATACCGATACCTGGGTATGTCACAGAACATCGGTATCGATGAGGCTGGTATGAAACAGTCAGTTTGCGACGTGTTTTATGCACGCTTGACAAAAGTGCTTAAGGTGGCTCTAGTCGCGGGCTCGAACTCATTGGTGGGCGCGGCCAAAAAGCACGTTGTCTCACCTGGCATCGTGCCCGACAGAGATAGTACCAGTGAAGAGCAGTTAGAACGCACGTCTTGTTCGTACGGCGTTCCGAACCGTTAGAACAAAAACGAAGTTACACGAACACGATGCACACATACATACCACCCTATTCTGTGCCGCTCGACGCTTGCTAAGAAATCAGCAGTACCTACCTACAAACTCGTACTAAATTATTAGGCACTGCGCTTTGTTATCGCTTTATACTATACCTCTATGGCTCTATAGATACCTAATATAGATTGCTTATTTTATTATGTTTTGTTTTCCCCGGGTGGTCATGCAGCGATCACTCAAGAGTTCACGACGCCGAAGCATGAACTGGAACAGTCATCGCAATTTATATCCGTACTAGCTGTTGCCAGCGGCTTCAAACGCGTGAACTCGAAAATTATCCCACAGGAACGAAATACCTGAATAAACGGTATCAAAAAATGTGTTATTCCAGACCAGGTATAACCTATCTCTGAGCTAAATATCATCCAGATCCCTTCAGCTGTTCTGGCGTGATTGAGTAACATACATCTATCCATCCAAACTTTCGCATTTATAATATTTAGATAATAATTGTAATTAGTTCTGCCTACCTATAAATTGTTTTCAAAAATACTTACCTGTCTTCTTACTTTTTTTATATACACACAATATCACTAGATGTAAACACATGTTTTTATCAAGACAAGTGACCCGTCAAGACTGTTTCCTTAGTACCGATGTACTTAGGCAGGTAGTAGTAGGTAGGCAAAAACGATTACTACTGAAAAACTAAATAGGTACCTACCTAACAATCAAATAAAAATATTCTCAAAAAGCTCAACCAATTCAGTATTTAATTTTGTTAAAAGAAAATTGGTCAAATAAAAAATAAAGGATGAAAATAAAGCATATGGGAATATAAAAATAAATCGTATTTATTTGAATAAAACTATTATTTACGGATTTTATCGCGTTTAATTACTTTAATTTATTATTATCCCGACGTTTCGGGTGCTTTACAGCGCCCATGGTCCGGGATAATAATAAAAATAAATTAAAGTAATTAAACGCGATAAAATCCGTAAATAATAGTTTTATTCAATGTGTAGTGTTCGCGTAAATTTAAGAAATCGTATTTATTTGTTATTTCGAGTTTTACAAGAAAAGCATAATATTTACTGGAGAGAATTATTTTATTATTATAATAGTACATGATATTCCCTTTAAAATGACACCAATATGAATAATATCTTATATCTATATCTAAAGATAAATAAAATTTAAGTGTCTGTTTGTAATGTTAAAATAACAGCTTTTTATTAAATGCATATGAAAGTATTAGTAACAAAAACACATTTTTTAAAATTTCAAACACCACAATCTCTAATTTTTTACTCTGCTATCTTCAGCGCTGTACACGAACGGAACGATGTCGTTGAGAGCCGTGGTAGCTCACATGGTTAGCGCTCGTTATAGGTATCACAGTACGGGAGCAACCCGGGTTCGATCCCCACTGGCACCAATGAAATTGTTGCGTGCTGATTTAGCTATCAGTTGGAAAGTCTGTTTTTCTGGGCCGTTTTGTTTTGTTACACTGACATCTCGCAAGTCACCTAGGGACCTAGGAGGTTGTCGGTTGCTTATTTTTTATTTTTCTTTAAAATTTTCGTCGGTAAAATAACATATTTATAAAAGTAAAAAAAAGTAAAGTTACAGCCTATATACGTCCCACTGCTGGGCACAGGCCTCCTCTAATTTCTGAGAGGTTAAAACCCTCTCAGAAATTAGAGGAGGCCTTCTGGCAAGGAAATGTCCGCCACGCTGCCTCAATGCGTGTTGACGAACTTCACATTTCTTCGAAATATATATTTTTTTAATTTCTCAGACATGCAGACCCGAGTTCGATCCCCGCCGGTATCAATGAAATTGTTAATTGCAATTGTGCTGATTTACCACGTGCTCGGCGGTGAAGGAAAACATATTGAGGAAACCTGCACGTCTGAGAATATAATTATAATCGAATGTAAATCAAATTGACATAGGTAAGTACAGATAAAATTAGCGGAACATTAATAAAATTTTGAGATCGTTTTTTTTTTCAAAATTTTATTTATATATTCCTCTATTTTTGTCTGTGTTTATATCAATTTGATTTAATCCAAAGTTCAAGCAGGGGTCAATGTAGCGTAGTAATTTAGAGCGTAGGTATAGTTATAATCATACGAACGTCACAGGCCGCAGCTGACAATGACGTCGAATAAAACTAGAATAAGCGCGCGTCACCGTGCATGCATGTGTGTGTAAGTGTCGTCCTCCCGCACCGCACCGAGGGAAAAATTATTCAGTGAGATGCACGATAATTCATATAAACACGCGCGCGTAAAAAAATACGAAAAGGCCTTTGGAAGGAGGGGTTTTATGAAAAACCCACTACATGAATCAATTACCAATAAAATTTATTGAATTCTTCGATAATTGAGCTGTGTCGGTACCGACTTTGTTTTGGAAATTTTACACTGCTTTTATTACTAATTTACGCCCAAAGTTGTGTTAAAATTGGCAATAAAAACGAATCTTTGGTAGCTCGTAACTTTTTACTGACTTTTTATTTTACTATTCTGTTTCGGTACAGACAAAATTAATAATGAGACAAAACGATATCATGTTTAACTTTGGATGTACACTGTCAAACAGCGGAGTAAAACCCCTCCGAAATTTCTATGGAAATAATGTCGACTAGAGTCACCTTAACAGGCATTTGTCCGGTGTGAATAAGACACATGCATATAAATGTTGTGTCATGCCTGCCCTCATGTATACCTTTGGCATACTCAGGTGGACCCAGACTGAACTTAACGCCCTGGATAGAAAAGTCTGCACTACCATGACGTCTCATAGGATGCATCATCCGAGATCGTCGGTAATGAGGCTGTACTTGCCGCGAAAGCATGGTGGCCGTGGTTTTCTGAGCGCGCTCACCATGCATAATAGCGAAGTGTGCAGCCTCCGTCAATACTTCTTGGCGAGATCGGATGATCCATTCTATAATGACGTCATTTGTAGTGATAAAGGGCTTACCCCTCTATCCTTAGCCAACGAGCAATGGCAAGACCCAGCAGTGCTTAGCATTTCCGACCGGGAGACCGTATGGAAGGAGAAGGAGCTCCACGGGAGGTACTACAGGGCTCTACATGAGCCCTTCGTAGAAAGAGTCGCCTCCCTCAACTGGCTACGTTTCGGTGACCTCTTCGGGGAAACCGAGGGTTTTGTCTGTGCAATACAGGATCAGGTTATTAAGACCAACAACTATCGGAGATACATCCTAAAGGATGGCACCATCGACATTTGTCGAACTTGTCGCCATCCCGGTGAGTCACTTAGGCATGTCATCTCCGGTTGTTCGGCGCTTTCTAACTCTGAGTTGCACAGGCACAACCTAATAGCCAGAATTCTACACCAGGAGCTCGCTCTGAAATACGATCTCGTGGACCGGAAAGTGCCGTATTACAAGTACCTGCCGGAAGCCGTGCTCGAAAATGACCGCGCCAGGCTCTACTGGGACCGGGCCTTTTACTTAGATGCATTGGGTTTTCCTCAAATAAGACTATATCATCTGCGAATCTTAGGTGGTTTAGTTTTTCACCTAGCATGTTGAGGCCGTATACTTTCCAATTTAGTTTGCGGAAGATGCTTTCCAGTGCAGCCGAGAATAATTTTGGTGAAAGAGGGTCTCCCTGTCTTACTTGAACTTTTTTCCCAAGGTTTCCAGTTGGATTCTCGCTTCTCCATTCATATAGATGTTCTTTATGATATTGATGTAGTTCGATGGTATCCCCTGCTGTTCTAAGCTGTTCCATATGGCCATGTGCTCTATGCTGTCAAAAGCTTTAGAATAATCAACGAATGCCATGTACAGTTTCTTGTTATACTCATTGTATTTTTCTACTATTTGTTTCGTTGTATGTATATGATCTAGAGTGGAGTATTTTTGTGTGAAGCCAGCTTACTCCCGTGGTTGTTTTCATCTAATTTTTTGCTTATTCGATCCAGAATAACTTTAGAAAATACCTTATAGATATTTGATATCAGGCTTATGGGTCTATAGTTTCCTATATCCTCCTTTTGTCCTTTTTTTGAATAATAGAATAATGTTTGCTGTTTTCCATTCTTCCGGGATTTGGCTAGTTGTTAGTATTTCATTGAATATTGAAGTAAGTATTGGTAGTAGTTCTTCGAGGGTGCCTTTTAGGAGTTCGTTCGTCACTTTGTCTGTACCTGGAGCTTTTTCCATCTTCTGGCTGTATATAGATTTTTCGATTTCTCTGGGAAGTATTTCTGGTTCATTTTTGGTGTCAGTCCTTGGGTAGTGTTCTTGTTTGTGGTCTGGGTTTGAATTGATTTGGTAGATGGCGCTGTTGTAAAATCCAGAGATCACCCGTGCGAAACCGGAGCAAGATCACTAGTAGTATAAAAGCGGTCTAGGTGCGACCCGAAAGGTCCACACGACTGAAGTCTCAGTGGAAAGAATAAAAAAAATCATATCTTTTAATATTTCATACAATTTTTCATTCAGCACAAAAACGACTCGACCGATTTTGGTCAAAATTTAAAGAGGTCTAATTACATAATTATGCGTTAAATGAAACTGGTCCCATGTCAATATCACTCTTTTTTACACGAGCCGGAAATTGAATCCGAACATACATACATAAATACATACGTACATGTGCACACACGGACATCCTCTTAAAAAACATACTATTCGACTCTAAAGACCTTGAAATGTGGAAATATGTTAAAATTTCGACCCATTACAGTAACTTCCAACTGGGAAGTTAACAAAAGTAGTGTAATGTCCTACAGATGCAAATTACATTCACTGTGGCGTAGGCGTTAGTCTCAGATCAGCCGTCTGCTCCATACAGGCAACACCGTAGTGTGCCAGTCAAGTTCGGAAAAACAAAATGGCGACCGCATCGGCACTGTGTATATATAAATGAACCATTTCGAGCTAATTTCGGACCCCCGATAATTATTAGACCGACATACTTGTAATTTTGCATACAAAGCAAGGAAGGAGAAATAGCTAGAAGTCAAAATTTCATAAAAAACCTATTACATTTCTGGAGTTGAGGTCTGAAAGGTGTCATTTTAATCACTTAACAAAAAAGGGCTCTTAGGAACTATACTACGGGAAGTATTATTACAGAGCTGTTTTTAAAAGCTTTCATTTAACATCAACTTGTATTTTTGTCCTGGAATTTTGCAAACCATAATTTCATTTGTACCCTTTTTGTTCTTTTCCTTGCACTGCGTGTAAAAGATGCTGTTCCATAGACTAATTTTTGTGTTTGTGTAGAAAGTGCTGTTCCAAAGAGATTTATATCTATATTTATTTCGGTATGGGGATTTGAAAGAGCTCTATTCTTGTATCGATGTGTAACTCACCAGTTTGAGGAACGGGCACTCCGCGAGCATATCCAGCATGTCGGGGAAGTACCCGCCCACCTCCTCGTGCACGGTGCCCACCAGCGAGATCTGATGCAGTGGCCCGCAGCGGAACGTGCCCGCCGCGTACGTCTGTTGCACCTGCAGACACAACAACAAATTACCGTCTGCGGTACATGAACATTCGATATAACAATAATGAAATGGGTCTAGGCTGTGATTCAGTCTGTTGAAAAAAAAGCGAGCACTCAGTTCACTAGACGTTAAGTAGACGTTTTTCTTCTTTTCGTGGTCTATAGACATTTACATTTATATAAAATGTTCATTCGATCCTTGATTAAGTTTCAAAATGCTCCGGTGAAAGATTTTTCATATGTTGGTGCGTGCACATTGCGATAATTTTGATATTTGATGATGATAGTAGCCCTAGTTCACAATGCGCTTAAGCGGTCAAAATAACATGAGGTTTCGGTATATCTTCAGCATAGCATTTCTTTCAGTTTCAGTTCGCATGCACAGACATTTAATACATAAAATAGTATCACCTTTACACATAAAAGTCCATTTCATATTGTTATTTAAACGACAAAATAGAGCAGGTGCGCAAGGCTCACTTGCTGTAAATAACGTACTTTACAGTCTGTGTCAATTTTGCGAGCTTTTTGGTAGAAGTAGCTCGTCTGTTGGTAGTAGTCAGGTTAGATGATATTGATATCGATATAAATCGTTGTGAGGCTAGCACAGAGAGGCTAAGACAGCGCGGGCGAATCATCTAATAGAAGAAGAGAGTTGATGTTAAGTCAAGATCATCGAACATGAATGATATCTAAATGCATTATCGCGACAAAGATGTCGCGAAGGGATTACACACTGATAGTAGATATCGGTAGTAATATGCATCTTCACGAGGTTGGCACAACCAGTGCGGTGTATTCACCTACTGGTAGCTAAGGGTTGTTGGATGATACCGATTTGCAATGGCGCGAGGTTCATACTGCAATCATGTGGATCAGCTACTAGGCTGCACTAAAAGTATCGGGAATGGAATATTTCCACTGTTCCTGTCATATTAAAATCTTTTTAATTGGAAACTCCTTGGTTTTAAAAATCGAATATCGTTTATTTATTTAAAAAAAGATTCTCGGTCTTGTCACAAGGTTTTGTCAAACAAATGGAATTGACTCGAGAAAATTCAAGAGCGATGATTTATTATGACTTTCGAAATGGTTTAACACAAAAACAGTGTGTTGACCGGATGATTTCTACATTTGGTGATGAAGCCCCATCCAAAACCACAATTTGTCGCTGGTTTGCTGAATTTCAACGTGGACGTGTCAAGCTCAGTGATGATCCCCGTCAAGGTCGTCCAAAAATTGCAGTCACCCAAGAAAACGTTGATGCTGTGCGTAAGCTGATTGAGGAAGATCGACATGTGACATACCGGGAAATTTAGACAACTTTAGACATTGGCATGAGTCAAATACAAATAATCTTGAATGAACAATTAGGTGTAAAAAAAGTTGTTTTCCCGATGGATACCGCATTCGCTCTGTGAAGAGCAAAAAGCGGCTCGCGTTACTTGGTGCGTCAGAACTCTCGTAAGATTCCACGCAGGATCCTCAAATGCTGTATACAACATCGTATCAGGTGACGAATCCTGGATATACCCGTACGAACCCGAAACAAAAAACCAGTCACGAGTTTTGGTGTTCGAAAATGAGTTAAAGCCAACAGAAATTGTTCGTTCAAGGAGTGTTGGAAAAAAAAAACGTTTGTCTCCAAAAACGGCCATGTTACGACTATTCCTCTTGAGGGACAAATAATGGTTAATGCAGAATGGTATGCTAGCATTTGTTTGCCACAGGTCGTTTCTGAACTCCGTAAAGAGAACTGCAACCGCCGCATCATCCTCCATCACGACAATGCGAGTTCTCACACCGCACACAGAACAAAAGAGTTTTAGAGCAAGAAAACATAGAATTATTAGATCATCCGCCGTACAGACCCGACCTAAGCCCTAATGATTACTATACTTTCCCTAAAATAAAGAATAAATTACGTAGACAGAGATTTTCATCACCTGAAGAAGCTGTGGACGCCTACAAAACGGCAATTTTGGGGACCCCAACTTCCGAATGGAATGGTTGCTTCAATGATTGGTTCCATCGTATGGAAAAATGTGTCAAATCTCGCGGAGAATACTTCGAAAAGCAATAAATACATTTTTAAATAGTGATGTTGTGTCACTTCCTTGATTCCCGAAATTTTCAGTGCCACCCTCGTATTAATAGAAGAGGACCATATTGGTAAGGTTAGTAGACACGGCCAGTGTGTTCCTAGTGGCAGGTCACCTGGTGGTGGTAGCGCGCCACGTTGGTGGTCTCGATGTCGGAGGCGCGCGCCAGCACGCCCGCCTTGACGGGCAGCGTGGGGTGGCGCTCGGCCAGATAGCGCAACAGGCAGGGCAGCCGCGCCGCCGCGCCGCGCACCACGCCGCACACGAACTGCGCCCACCCGCACGCGTCCTCCGAGAACACCAGCTGTGCACACAGCACCCCCATTTATATTGCCATTCAGGTAATATTGATTACACACTTTTTTATACAACATGTAACAAAAACCCTGTGGTTCCCGTTAAGTGCGTTATGAGAATCAGTATCCAAGCATATAGAAATACTTCATTTTTTTTTTCAAAAAACACATTTAAAAAAATTTAATTTTAATGAAAAAAAATTAATTTGCAAATAGTATGTGGTTTTATTATCTCTGCATTCGCCGAGGAGTAAGAGGATTGTCAAAGACGCCGCACTACCGATACTCGTGTGAATTAGAGGAAATAAAACCACATATAATTTGCAAATTAATTTTTTTTCCACTAAATTTTTTTAAGTTTTTTTGAGAAAAAAAATTATTTCTTTACACTTGGATACTGATTCTGATAACGCAGTTAACAGGAACCACAGGGTTTTTGTTACATGTTGTATAATAGGGATGACAAACGAGCACACAGTCCTCCTTGATCATAAGGAGATGCTGAGGTCCATAAAAGACATCTACATTCATCCTCGATTCAGGATCAAAATGGAGACGGGTTGTCACCCCCCGAGGACCTAGATGGAATGCCTCGTATTCAGTAACAAGGGTCTCCGGTTCTGTACACTCACCGTATGAATCACAGCAGCATTAAGCTGCTATTTTACGCTTTCTGTGAGAGCATGATCCTTCCCTGGTCAAGCCGACCCATTTATGCTATGCTACAACCACGATATAACTGTAGCATGGCTCTACCACGTATAAACTATCTATACTATACTAGGCAAGTCAGAACAAAAACATTTTTTTTATGCTAACGCGGTTCGAACCGCCGCGCCTCAAATTATTTATAATGCACCATCGTGGCCCGTACACTAAGTAATCTAAGTATAGTACAAAATTGTAACCAGTCTGGCCTGTGCCGGTAAGTTTATAACATTTTACAATTATAACCTAACGTCTATCACAGATAATACACATGATTATTTTTAAATTGATATATGTGAAACTAATTCTAACCTTTAAAAATTCCTTGGCAAGTGACTCTTGCTGGTGCTCACTCAGCATGTCCACATCATGCTGGTAAAGGTACACAACACTTGCACCACCGTTAGGATGTGTTTCCACCCGCATTAACCTGTAATATAGTAAGCGAATAAGAATTCAGCAAAATGATTTCTTATAATTACTTTTTTAAATGTGTTACAAATTAAGAAGTAAATAAAAGTAAATTTACATTAACTGGTTATAGAACGATCTCACCTTTATGCAGTTTTGATGTAAATTTTAAATATATTAATGATGTGATCATTGAACAGTGTGTATGTGATTTTGTGATTTGTCAATATGGTGATGATTCCGCTATATCGAAAGCGAGTGATATTAATACCTTATCATTCATTTATTCTTTATTGAATCTTACACAAACATATAGGAACTAATGGAGAACTTGAACAAGCGTTCCCTGCCAGTCTACCTTCATTTACAATCCAGTTTTAAAACTTCCAATGAAACAATGAAGGTTGACGGATATAATGTGAGCTTATCTTATCACTGTAAAGTACTACAAAGTGTTTATGAAGTAACTTGTACTGAAGTGAAAGGCATTGTCGCCTTTCTTGAAGAACATGACCACACACTATGATTTCTTTTATTTACGCGAACACTACCAATTTAAATAAAACTAGTTTTTACGATTTTTATCGCATATATTAAGATATTTTATACTAGGCTGCACTAAAAGTATCGGGAATGGAATATTTCCACTGTTCCTGTCATATTAAAATCATGATGATGATGACATTAGTCTGTTAGTCTTGAGACCGACAGTTCCAAGAAATCACTTTCTATATTATAAATGATGACTTGCCTGAAATGAAATATAAATTAGGAACACTCCTGATCCAAAATAATTTCAGTTTTAAGGTTATATCTAGTTAGGATTATTTTACCAATAACAAGGACCAGTGACATGTTAGCCAGTTATTAATTATGTATTGTAACATTATTGCTGTAAGTACAAAAGATGACTCTGAACAGTAAGTTTGAGTGTAATAATTGATAAGTAAAAGCATAAAAATCGCTAATTGTGTACATTATGGGTCCGTGGCGCAGTAGCTTAGCATCGAGTTTCGACGCTAAAGGCCGCGGGTTTGAATGGCGCAAGGGATAAATATTCGTATTTGTATGGTCTACAAATAATTGTCCGAAGTCTGGATGTATCCTTGAGCAATTTGTAAAAGGTAAGGTTTTAAATTTTATATTTTTTGAACCATGTCCTTTAAAAATGTAAATATCCCTTTTACATCCTTTTCTCCTATCCTTTTATTAATGGTTTTGTTCTGAGTGCTGCGGAGTAATAAACGACGGTAGTACTCCTAAGTGGTACAATATTATGTATGTAGTATGTCTTTTATCTTCTTCATCTGACTTCAAAAATTTACTGCTGGACATGAGACTCTCATTGTAAAGAGGATATGCGGTAATCATTATGCTTGAGAGACAGATTGAATTCTCCTATAGCTGACAATTACACACAATTATACTGCTATCCATCTTAGGCACACCCATGGGACGAAATAGATACTCTTATAACAATATAATACAGTACATACACTCACCGGCACGGAAACTTGGCCAAGCGGTTATCTCGCGATAGCAAAAGCTTTAAGTGTTTCTGATGAATGTTTGTTATGCAAGTATGTCAAAAAATGTTTACCCTCAAGTTCAAGAGGGTAATTCATTATGTTTAAGTGCACCATGACGAATTCTTTAATTTTTAGTTGAATCGGGTCATTTGAGCGACTTAGTTCACATTTTAAATTTGTGTGTTGTGAAAAGTTTACTGTAAGGTTATTCAATTATTGTGATCTTGTGTCTTAATTAAATAACTAAAGGTGCTTTAAAGCCAATAAAAATGCCATTAACACCAGCACAAGTTGCACAAGCAGTAGCATTAATTGACCAAGGGCTGACACAGCGTGAAGTTGCTATTGTGCTTAACGTACCACGGTCCTCAATGCAGTATTCACTGAAACGATACCAGGAGACAGGCCGCTACACCCGCAGGCCAGGCAGTGGGGGCGTAAGGTGCACATCGGCCCGGGACGATCGTTTTATTGTTATGGAGATTTTGAGAAACCGCTACCTGACCGCTGTTGAGATACGCCAGCGGCTCCAAATCGCAAGAGGCGTTAATGTTAGTGAGCGTACGGTGAGAAGACGAATGGAGGAAGTGAATTTAAAAGCTCGTAGACCAGCACGAGGTCCAGAACTTCTCAGACAGCACCGAGTAGCCCGACTTCAGTTCGCAAGAGAACATGTCAATTGGACCCACGAGCAATGGGCTAGAGTGTTGTTCACAGATGAGTGTCGAATAGCTTTACGTGCTCCAGACGGTCGAGAACGAGTGTGGAGAAAAAGAGGAGAGAGGTTTCTACCCATTACCACCACCCAAACTGTGAGTTTCCATGGAGGCTCAATAATGGTATGGGGAGGTGTAAGTTACGACGCACGTACAGAGTTGGTCATCGTCGATAATCGGCTTACAGCTACTCGATACATCGAGGAAGTTCTTTAGGAGCACGTAATGCCTTATTCGGGATTCATTGGACACGACCAATTCCTCCTCATGCACGATAATGCACGCCCGCACGTCGCACATTATGTAGAGGAATATCTGGAAGAGGTTGGAATACAAAAATTACAGTGGCCAGCTCGTAGCCCGGACTTAAATCCAATTGAGCATGTATGGGGTATGCTCAAAAGAAAGATAAAGTCCAGCTCCAAACCGCCACAAACTCTAAATGAGCTCCGAAATGCAGCGCTGGCCGCTTGGGACAGCATACCGCAAGTTGATGTCAGAAACATCATTCAAAGCATGCCAGATCGAATGCAAGCGGTTATCAGGGCTAGAGGAGGAAACACCCGATATTAAAACTGATAGACAATAAAGAAACAGATATCTAAATGCATTATCGCGACAAAGATGTCGCGAAGGGATTACACACTGATAGTAGATCACGTTGGAAGATATCGGTAGTAATATGCATCTTCACGAGGTTGGCACAACCAGAGCGGTGTATTCACCTACTGGTAGCTAAGGGTTGTTGGAAGATACCGATTTGCAATGGCGCGAGGTTCATACTGCAATCATGTGGATCAGCTACTAGGCTGCACTAAAAGTATCGGGAATGGAATATTTCCACTGTTCCTGTCATATTAAAATCTTTTTAATTGAAAACTCCCTGGTTTTAAGAATCGAATACCATTTATTTATTTAAAAAAAGATTCTCGGTCTTGTCACAAGGCTTTGTCAAACTTGTTTAGTCGTTGAGAAAATGAAATTGACTCGAGAAAATTCAAGAGCGATGATTTATTATGACTTTCGAAGTGGTTTAACACAAAAACAGTGTGTTGACCGGATGATTTCTGCATTTGGTGATGAAGTCCCATCCAAATCCACAATCTATCGCTGGTTTGCTGAATTTTAACGTGGACGTGTCAAGCTCAGTGATGATCCCCGTCAAGGTCGTCCAAAAACTGCAGTCACCAAAGAAAACGTTGATGCTGTGCGTAAGCTGATTGAGGAAGATAGACATGTGACATACCGCGAAATTCAGGCAACTTTAGACATTGGTATGAGTCAAATACAAATAATCTTGCATGAACAATTAGGTGTAAAAAAGTTGTTTACCCGATGGATACCGCATTCACTCTGTGAAGAGCAAAATGCGGCTCGCGTTACTTGGTGCGTCAGCATTCTCGAAAGATTCCACGCAGGATCCTCAAATGCTGTATACAACATCGTATCAGGTGACGAATCCTGGATATACCCGTACGAACCCGAAACAAAAAACCAGTCACGAGTTTGGGTGTTCGAAAATGAGTTAAAGCCAACAAAAATTGTTCGTTCACGGAGTGTTGCAAAAAAAATGGTGGCCACGTTTTCTCCAAAATCGGCCATGTTACGACTATTCCTCTTGAGGCCAAAGAACGGTTAATGAAAAATGGTATGCTAGCATTTGTTTGCCACAGGTCGTTTCTGAACTCCGTAAAGAGAACTGCAACCGCCGCATCATCCTCCATCACGACAATGCGAGTTCTCACAGCGCACACAGAACAAAAAAGTTTGAGAGCAAGAAAACATAGAATTATTAGATCATCCGCCGTACAGACCCGACCTAGCCCTAATGATTACTATACTTTCCCTAAAATAAAGAATAAATTGCGTGGACAGAAATTTTCATCACCTGAAGTAGCTGTGGACGCCTACAAAACGGCCATTTTGGAGACCCCAACTTCCGAATGGAATGGTTGCTTCAATGATTGGTTCCATCGTATGGAAAAATGTGTCAAATTCGCGGAGAATACTTCGAAAAGCAATAAATACATTTTTAAATAGTAATGTGTCACTTCCTTGATTCCCGAAATTTTCAGTGCCGCCCTCGTATTCTCAATTTCGAACACTTTATAGAAAATTACAATAGAGAAAATGGCTGGGTGCTACCATCTGTTTGGGATCCTATAATTAATAAAATTAAATTCCATCCCAAGCATACAATTTCAACTTATATATCCCATCTTCAAGATATTATAAGTTCATACTGCGTAGATCGGAATAAAAATTAATAATTTTAATCTGGAGGTAGCCGTGGGTAACTATAACATTGGGACGTCGAACACCTCAGTCACCTCCGTGACCATGATTGCTGTCAAGTGTTCGAAACGTCGGGAATATAAAATATGTTAATATATGCGATAAAATCCGTACACATTAGTTTTATTTAAATGACCACACACATCCAAAATAATCTAAAATAAAAAGACCTTAGCATTGATCACCAAATTTCTTCTTCAGATAAAAAATATCGGAATGCGCCGCTTAGCGCTAAAAACGTTAGACTCGACCTTTTTTTTAATTCGAACCGGTTGGTTTTAAAATCAGGGTCAAAACAACGTCAGTTTGAATTGAAAACCGAAATTACACGAAAATAATTGCAGGGATAAGTTGCTGGTACCACTCAATCGCTTCTTCTCGTATTGAAGAAGCGATGGAGTGTAACCGGCTTAATGTACCTGAATACTCGCAATTTTTGTATGTTCATGCTGCACTGCTATATTATAGTTATGGCACAAATGGGTCATCTCGACTAGGGGAGGACGACACTCTCATAGAATACTAGCGTAAAGTAAAATAGCAACTTGTTGCTGCCGTTTCGTATAATAAGTTTTGAGGACCGGAGATCCTTTTTATTGGATACGAGAAAAATCTATTGAAGACTTTCATCTAACAATAAACTTTTTGAGTTCTTATGCAACGAGTCTGTAGTTCCGTCTGCATTGACAGTTACGACAAGCTTGAAATTTTTATCACTCATATCAACTATTAAAAAATTCAGAGATTAAGGTTTAAGTACAAATGAGAAGGTACATTTACTTCATTACATGTGATTTTTCCAACTTGACGTTTACACACACTAAGTGCATGCTTCCTCCAATTTGCAATCAGTGAAATATCACAGACCTGATGTCGGAATAAAACTCAATTGGTACAATAGGAAATGCTAATTTACTATGTGCTTGACGATGAAGTTAAGCAGCATGGAGCAAGATAGAGAAATTAAAAAATTACTCACATTAAAGAGCCGTGTAATATTATTTTCTGTTCCATCAAAAATAGTATGTTTATAAACAGATGTTTTTGTATAATTCAGTCACGTAAGTATAGTTTTAGCCTACTGAACATATACTTGCTCTCAAAATTGTCAAAACATAGTCTTTAGCCACAAACAACGATCGACGCCCTAAATGCATTATTAAGTGAGTGAGAGACAAACTCTAAATAATGGGTGTCACCCTAAATTGAACGATCGACCCCCTAAACGCATTATTAAGTGAGTAAGAGTGACAATCTGTAAATAATGGGTGTCATCCTAAACTGAACAATCAACCCCCTAAATGCATTATTAAGTGAGTGAGAGTTAAGAACTCTAAGTAATGGGTGTCAACCTAAACTGAACCTCTGCGAGGCTGCCCTTCGGGTACCTTTTTTCCCATCCAATTTCAGTTCTACGAGCCATACTTAGAACTTAAGCTTCTTTTTAACTAGCCCACACTGCAATTACCTGTGATACTTTAGGCCTTTGATGTCAACGCAGGGCGCCCTCGGCCCCCAAGCCGTGACAGAGCGCTCGCGACGACACTGCACTCCGATCGAGCAACGTTTCACACGCGCTCGTCTTCTGCACTGCTGGCAGGACGAATGTCGCGAAGAGTGCGACGATCTGAAACCGAAGGATACAGGGCATCAGTAATGTTAGTTTCTAGCATGAAAGAATAATTTGTATATGTATAAGACATGACAACATATGAAGAGAGAGATTGTGGGAAGTTTGAGGGCTGTAATGATTATGATGATGATGATGACATTAGTCTGTTAGTCTTGAGACCGACAGTTCCAAGTTATCACTTTCTATATTATAAATGATGACTTGCCTGAAATGAAATATAAATGGAACACTCCTGTCAAAATAATTCAGTTCATAGGGACCAGTGACATGTTAGCCAGTTATTAATTATGTATTGTAACATTATTGCTGTAAGTACAAAAGATGACTCTGAACAGTAAGTTTGAGTGTAATAATTGATAAGTAAAAGCATAAAAATCGCTAATTGTGTACATTATGGCTCCTTGGCGCAGTAGCTTAGCATCGAGTTTCGACGCTGAGGGCCGCGGGTTTGAATGGCGCAAGGGATAAATATTCGTATTTGTATGGTCTACAAATAATTGTCCGAAGTCTGGATGTATCCTTGAGCAATTTGTAAAAGGTAAGGTTTTAAATTTTATATTTTTTGAAGCATGTCCTTTAAAAATGTAAATATCCCTTTTACATCCTTTTCTCCTATCCTTTTATTAATGGTTTTGTTCTGAGTGCTGCGGAGTAATAAACGACGGTAGTACTCCTAAGTGGTACAATATTATGTATGTAGTATGTCTTTTATCTTCTTCATCTGACTTCAAAAATTTACTGCTGGACATGAGACTCTCATTGTAAAGAGGATATGCGGTAATCATTATGCTTGAGAGACAGATTGAATTCTCCTATAGCTGACAATTACACACAATTATACTGCTATCCATCTTAGGCACACCCATGGGACGAAATAGATACTCTTATAACAATATAATACAGTACATATGTATATCTTTCATTTAATGGGTCATTTGCAGTATTCTTAAAAGGCTTTTTCTTTCTACTACATGTATGCTGGAAATATAATATGAAGGATTAACACTAACTTACGGATTTAATTTTAATTACAAGGATAAGAGGCTTGTCATGTAGGGGCGGAATTTCCGCTATTCCTGCCAGAGTAGCTAGTAGAGCCTCGGGGCAGCTTTTGCTGTCGTACGGATGGGCTGGCTCAAACACGACCTCACAGAATACCAGCGTAAAATAGAGGATTACCTCTGCGTGTCGCTTTGTGAGTGCAGGTGGCCGGAGCCCAATGCCCTCCTCCCCCTTAACGTGGTAGCGGAATTAAGTGAACGGACAGACTTGTCCGAAGTTGTTACGCGAAGACAGCGACGACCATCCCCGCATCTACGGGTGCGTCTTTAGGTCCCATAGCGGTAATATCGAAACAGACCGACTCCTTGACCACGTCCAAATGGCAACAGATTCCGTGCTACAGCAGATCCCATCCGCAGAGACCGTGATCCTTGGCGATTTTAATGCCCACCACGCCGAATGGTTCGGTTCACGTTTAACCGATCATGCGGGAAGATCTGTTTATGACTTTGCTTTGGCATATGATCTGACACAACTGGTTACACTTTTCCTGTTGGACCTTCTACAGACCTCCCATCCGGACAGATATCAGGTTTCCGTCGACACCCCTTTAGACTCGTCAGACCATTGTCTTGTCCGGAGTGTGGTGCCAGACACAGCGTCCCGGTTGCGTTCGGCAGGCTGCCGCCGTGTTTGGCAATATAGGTCGGCCGATTAGGATGGGATGCGGTCTTCGTCGTGTCAGAATAAATAGAGATTTTAAATGATTTATGCTGTTTTATTTCAGTTTTATCAAATCACCCCAAAACTTCGAAAATCCGGATTATCCGGATTTTAATCATAAGAAAATTCAAAAATTCGGATTTCAAAAAATTTTACAATCTTTAATGTAACCTAGCGAAATGATACGTGTTTAAAAATATTACAATAACAACTATTCACATACTGAATAAGATTAAGTGCTAGCAATTCTGAAAAGTTATATACGATAAAAACTCAAATCAATTTTACGGATCACGGCGCAGAGCTTTAACATACCACGACTAACGTTGACAAAAACATAAATTAAATAATGATTTCTTATATTTACGCGAACACTACATATTGATTAAAACTACTACTTTTACGATTTTTATGGTATTTAATTTATTTTATTTTTGATTCCCGACGTTTCGTTACGAAATAATTAAAAAGCTGAAGGTTCTCCGGATTAACACTTACATCGGAACGTCAGTCATTTCATTGCCCCGTGAACATGCGTACTGAAAAACACCCAAAACATCGGGAATTAAAAATAAATAAATTAAACGCAATAAAATCAGCGAAAGTAGTTTTAATCAATATAAATTTTAAAATGGAATAATTAACGTTTTTTTTTACATTACTGATTAGTAATTTATTTATTGTCCGCACAGAAATCTAAATAATAAGGCAATAGAAGTCGTAAAAACGCGTGACCTTGTCGCCGCACGCTGACTCGTAAGCCACAAGCGCGCGAGGGGCGTTTGTTTCGGTCACCAGTGTTGTTTCAGACGCAGAGACGTAAAAATAGTATTTTGAAGCATATTCAACTGCGGAAATTCTTCCACAACTTGCAAATTTTCAAATAAAGGGATAAAATTTCATAAATAAGTACTTAGTGTTTTAAATAATGTTGTTTTTAACGAAATATACTTGAAAAAAATTATTAACCTCAAGAATACGTCGATTGTCTCCGAAAATGTAACTGTTTTCACATTTCAATATCCATTGATTTTTAAGCTAGTTCATGTCTACGATTACGACAGCTAAAAACAGCGATGGATTTATAGTATGGGCAATAAACAATATTGTCGCGTACGCAAATTTCCAAGAACACGGCCGCAGGAGTCGAACGCGCGTCAGTGACTCATGCCACTATCTTATATCGATAATTTATTATGTTTAGCTTACCTAGTTTTACCGAAATGGGAATAAAATGTGATTTTTCGTTATATATTTATTTACACCTTAACTTTTTTTTTATTGAAGTGAAAACTATTGTAGCATCTTTGTGATTTGAAAGTTAATTAAGGTGAAACCTACGGACTGTTCCCAGCCATTCTCCCGCAAGATGGCGCTGAAGTCAAAATTTTTCGTTTATTTGGAGTTTTGTGTAATTGGAAAATTATTAAGTCGTAGGAGTAGACTTAGCGGTTATCGGATATTACATTTTATTGGAATGGGTCATATCATTGCCTCAAAATCAACCCAATTCGACATTAATTTTGATTATAACATCTGTCATTGAATATAGTGTCGTTTACACACACATAGACGTATCGATACGTTTACGAAGCTAGAACACTAGATGACGTGTATGTAAAAAACAAGTTTTAATTTTTCTGTATGTGTAGATTGGGTAGGCAGAACTACAAAACGCTATGTACGATTGTTATAAACTTTGCTTTTGTTCCGTCTTGCTTTGTTCTTTAGTACCGTAGACTTCTCTGTCTACGGCAGTTTGTTGTCAAAAAGGACGGCAACATCGCTTTACCTACGACTTTTGGTATGCCTATATATATATATATATATATATATATATATATATATATATATATATATATATATATATGTAAAGTTTTAGGAGAACTATTGAAATTTTTTACCAGAACGTAAGAGGACTGAGAACGAAATTAGATGAATTCTGGGTGGCCGTTGCTAGCTCGAGTTCCGATTTGTTTGCTATTACGGAAACCGGCTTTAGTGAATCTATTCAAGACTCTGAAGTTATTCCACCTGGATACAAAATGTTAAGATGCGATCGCGTAGACGGGCGGAAACAAGGCGGCGCTTGTCTAGTGGCCACACCGCGCTTCGAACTGCAGTTTGTACCTATATCGAGTGACATCAACATAGATTGTCGCGTATTTGAACTGGTTTGTGCTAGGGGGGTATATTTAAGAGAAAGATTTATATTTTTCATATGCGTTGTTTACATACCACCAGGTAGTTCTGATAACGAATATATGTTATTATTTAAAATAATCGAGCAATGTTGTAGTAAATACAGTAAAGTCATAGTACTAGGAGATTTTAATTTGTATTCATGCTCCACTGCTATACGTAATTACTATGAACATTTTGTAACATACTGTCAGTTTTCTCAGAGCAATAGAATAGGAAATTGTAATGAACGACAATTGGATTTAGTGTTAAGTACATTTGATGGTGAGGAATCGGTGAGGGTGTATGCGGCTGATTTGGAGCTTGTGCCAGTGGCTGCGCACCATCCCCCGCTTGAGGTAATAGTGTGGTTGCAATCCGCCGCAGACGAAACCTCTTCTGCGCAGGGCCCCATTGACAGCGAATGCTACGAGGTACCCGCTTGGAAGTTTAGCAAAGCTAACTTTCCTCTCTTGTATAAAACTATAGAGGAAATAGACTGGTCTCCAATATATGGTCTAGATTTAGAAGCAAGCCTTGATTTTTTTTATTGTACTATAAATAATATATTAGATAATTGTGTACCTAGGAAAAAAGTAAGTAAGGTAAGGTCAAAGTATATTTATCCTGAGTGGTATACAACTGAGATAATACGCGAGTTAAAATTAAAAGCAGATCGCCATAAGAGGTATAAGATGAGTAAATCACAAAACGATTATGAATTGTTTTCTAAGTGTCGAGCGAAAGTTAAAAAAATGATAATAGAACTCGCGCAGGAGCAACATCAGCGTCGCGTCCAAAGCCATCTCGTAGAAGATCCAAAAGCTTTTTGGAATTACATACGGTCCAAAAGAGGCTGCCTAAATAAAAAACAAATTTTGAAAAATGGACAAGTATTGAGTGGTAAGCAATGTGTAGAAGAGTTTGCTCAGTACTTCCATTCAGTGTATAGGACGGAACAACCCAACCTAAGCGTCACCGAGGCAATAATAGCGGCTGGTGGTGTCAACGCAGCTGCGCGGGTGCATATAGAAAGTCTGAGTATTCAGGATGTGCAACGTGCCTTAAAAAAGTTGAAACCAAAAAGG